GCTCCCGACGTGATGACACGCGCACACGCAGCTGGCGTCTCCCTCTTGGCAGTGGGCTCGCCCAAATGCCCCGACCTGAGCAGAATGCCTGACACAGTGGCTGGCACACATTAGGCGCTTACTGAATACTTTAGAAAGGCGTCTGGTATTTGGGAGGCTTTGGCCCCAAATGTCAGGAGAGAGGGAGGGAGAGCTTCTGGGGGTTTCAGCCACCAACTAGACGGCAGATTCCCCGTGGCAGGAGAGGCGTCCACTTAGCGCAAGGCAGATCCTTCCCTGCAAGGGGACAGTGGGGTGGGGGCCCCGGCCGGGTCAGTGGGCTCAAGATGTGAGCTTCACAGTTCAGAGCCTGCTTCTCTTTCCATGGCGCCGGGGGCCTGCATGGCTCTGGGTCCTGGACATCTGTAACGCCTCTTGGATATATTAGGGTCAAGACCAGGGCTCAGGTGGACCCGCCTTCCAGGCCTCCCGACAGAGTCCTGGATAGTTCAGTGCAGAGGGACTAGGAAGGCCAGCCATCCTGTTCCAGAATGTTCTACCCCAGTTACATTGTGCCCTACACCAAACACTGAGCCATCAGGGCCCCTTAAGTTCTAAATCAGAGGAGGTATCTGCTATTTTTTTGCCAACTATTTATTTTAACGCTCAAGCCTAGAATAAGAGCAAATGAACATAAATTAGGGGAAAGGATTGACTAACTGGACTGACTCTCCAGCCCCCATGTGTGTGGACTTAGCCCAGGCCAGCCACTCTGCTACGTATTATTCAGATACCATCTCACAATTCCCAACAACCCTGCAAAGCAGGTGTTATTTAATCCTCATTTTGCAAGTGCAGAAACGAAGCTGGAGAGGGGCTAAGTTATCTGATCAAAATCCCAGAGCAGGAAGTGGCAGAGCTCGCTTTCACGCCTGGGCTGTCCGGCTCCAGGGACCATGTTTCAGCCACCCAGAGAGGATGGGCCTGGAGAGAAGCTTCTAGGTGGTTGTCAGACTCAGACCTCTCCCAGAGGTCCCCCCTCCAGCCGGGCACGGGTAGCCCTCCCTGGAGAGGGGAGGTGCGGGCGACCTCTCAGGGGGGACCCTTCGGACAGACCGTCCTCACGCTCTCCCTGGAGGATTCCTGCCTCTCCGACCTCACCTGCTTTCCTTTCTGCATCGTCCAGGCTGGTCCCAGCCTCCTGACGGCCGTCAGCTGTCACCGTGGGCCCAGCAGAAGAGTGTGCAAGCCCCTGCGAGACTAGGGGTGATGATGGGCCTGGCAGCCGCCAGGGCACAGGATCACTTGACAGGCATCTCTATTTCACGGTCACGAGGGCCGAGCCTGGAGCCCTCTCCCAGCTCCTGCAGCCGCCCTGGCCTCCCTGTGACCCAGCCCATCTTGTTTCCATCCATCCGACCCTCCCCTCACAGCTGCGGTTTTCATACTTTCTGGTCAGAGCCTTTGAGCTATCCCTCGGTCATCCAGTGTCACCCCACACTGAGGGCCAGAGGGCTAAGAAGCCCCCCACCTCTCCTCTGGAGGACACCCCCTCCTCCCTGCCCACCGAAAGCTCTTCTTAAAAATATCCATCCGAGGAGGTTCCCTGTTCCGCACCCCGCCGTTCCCTCAGGGGGGAGGTTTCCAGGAATTTGTTGGGGATACATACAGAGATTTAAAGTATCCCGCTCATGTAGCGCAGGGGTCTGCAGAGGGCCAGAGAGTGACTATTTTATCAGGCTACACAAGTTCCCTTGCCACCATGCGATTCTGCTGGCCACCATGTGATTCTGCCGTTGTAACACAAAAACAGCCTTAGAAGATATGTAAGTGAAAGGGCGAGACTGTTTCCAATAAAACCTTATTTACAAAATCAGGGACTTCCCTGGTGGTCCAGTGGGTAAGACTCCAAGCTCCCAGTGCAGGGGGCCCAGGTTCGATCCCTGGTCAGGGAACTAGATCCTGCACGCCGCATCTAAGAGCCCACATGCTGCAACTAAAAGATCCCGCATGTAGCAACTAAGACCCGGCACAGCCAAACAAATAAATAAAATATTTTTTTTTTTTTTTTTTTTTTGACCTTCCTGCTACAGGATGAAGAGTGTAGCCCACGCCAGCGCTTCCCAGACTTGATCCTTGGGGGTCCATTCTTTGAGCCCGCGGAGCCCTGCCCTCCCCGCCCCATCCCCGGCGCCCTGGGGTGCTCGGTTCTCTGCTGGCGTGGGCGGGACTCCCGGGGTCTCTCCTCCACCCACCCCCGCAGGCACTGGGGGCGGCGGCGGCCACCCCTTCCCGAGGACCAGCCTCACAGGGTGTTCCTCCTCTGAACGCAGACGGGTCGCCGGTCCCGGGCGGGGCTGGCTGAGGGCGGCGGTGGGGCTCGAATCTGCCGCCTTTGTTTCCTCAACCCCGCGGGACTGCGTCTGGAGGAAGGGTCTCCCCTGGGCCGTCCCCTGCATCGGCAGGCGGACTCTCAACCACTGCGCCACCAGGGAAGCCCAATAAAATATTTTTAAAAAACCAAAAAACCAGACTGCCCCAGATTTTCCCTGGGGGCCAGAGTTGCCAACCCTGTGAGAGACAGCAGTTTAGGGGAGTGGCCTGGGTGGGGCACTCTGGCTGGGGCACACCCTGCACAGCTGGGGCACTGGCCTCACCCACCCCACAGAGATCCTGAGTGAACAGAGGCCATTGGGGAGCACTGACCAGGGTCGGGGCTGCTGTCATGGAAGCATCCCGGAATGGGGTCCCAAGGCGCTGACCACTGGAATGAGTCCTCGTGATCCAGGCAGACAGCCTTTGCCCTAAGGGAGGAGGCCCCCAGCCTTATCGTTGGCTGACACCCTCATGTGCTGCTGGACTGATGCGCTTGGAAGAAAACCCCAAGCCAATGCTCCTGATGTCGTGTGTGGCTGGTGAGGTGCTTCCTGTCTGCTAAGTCTTTTTTTTTTTTTTTTTTTTTTTTT